AGGTTTCATCCAGTTATACTGATAGTGAACTCTGCATTTAATATTATTTGTGTGTGTGTGTATACACACACACACACACACACAAATTGTTTACTTCAAGTAATTTCAGCCAGCGGTCTCTTGTGTTTTGCATCAGCAATGAATACAAGCAAAATCTACATATACAGTTTCTCCATTTACTTGTTTAACATTTCTCATTGGCTGTTCTTGCGAGGGCTGGTAATTGCTACAAGAGTTTAATGCCATGCTACTGCATGGGAAAGTAAAACATGGAGAATACGCTTTGCATGTACCCACTGCTCAACTTATGACATCCCCAGTTAACAGTGAGCTCAGGTAGCAAACCATGGAAAGACCTCTGCCTGAGACCTCAGAGAAACTGCTGCCTTTCCAAGTGAACTACAGGGTTGAGGGGAACTTTATATCCACAGACAAATTCAGGGTACAAGCTCTGGACTGGAATGATTACTTTTGTAACACAAAAAGCACCTCTCAATTTCACGGTGTCCCTCTTGGCTTAAATCCACTTCAGCTGTCCCATATGTGGTGGGAATGCCCAGAGGTCAGAGTTTTCTGGACAATGATATTACAAATTATAAAAAAGACGTGTAAAGTACCATTACCCATTGACTTTAATTTAATGCTAATGGGTATAGTAGGTAACCCAGCAATAAGCAAAGAGAACCAAGCTTTGTTTAAAGCCATGATACTAGCAAGTAAAGCAGTAATAGCTCTAGGCTGGAAGAACAAAAATAAATGGACAGTAGAAATCTGGCATAATTATTTGTTTGATCTCATACAGTCCGACATAATCGAAAAGCTGGAACGTAAGGCCACATGGGAAGATAAGACTACGGGGATCACGATGAAGTGGAAGACTTACCTGGAATGGATACCTACAGAAGGAAGAAAAGACATTCAGAGCAAGATTCGGACTTTGTGCCCGTGACTGGGAATATAGGACTAAAACACCGGGATAGCATAGGGGGGAGGGGGGAGGGATAAAAACTACTATGTAATGCATGGTCAAAAGATAGTATGTAAAATTTGTGAAAAATATTAAAAATAAATATATATATTTTTTAAAAATCCACTTCAGCCGTGTGCTGGTCTTGAAGCCCTTGCAAATTGATGTAACTTCGGGTTCACATTGTACAACATGGGATGCCTACACAATTACACACTATTTATTATCCAAGTCTGACATTTTGCAGCATACATAACTGAGGAATAAGCCTAAGCAATTAGAGGCAGGGGAAGTCAAGTTGAAATAGGCAAGGTTAAGACTAGAAAATAACAGCTTCCTCTGTCTCGTAGCAGGACACACGCATCAATTACCAGACAGTGCACTTTCCTTCAGTAGGTATGCAATACTGTATTCTGAAGGGACACACTATGTATCGTGGTTATGACTGGATAAAGTCTCACTATTTTACTAGAGCAGACTCTTTCCAGGAGTCTTATTATCATCAAATTGATTTATATCCCGCCCTCCCTGCAAACGGGCTCAGGGTGGGTCACAACAATATAAAGTTTCAATAAAGAAAAAACCATCACAGCAGTAGTGATAGTTACATACAGTACTGCCCAAACTCCTTTTGTCGCAGGAAGTGGCATGAAGAACCAGTGGCTACCAGCAAGAAGGATTAAACAGATAATTTAAAGAGACAAATACAGGCTGTGGTCACACGGAGCATTAGCCACGCTGCATAGACGGAAGATAGGCGGACTTTCCGGGCGCGATCTCACCGCAACATCTGGGGAGCGTAGAGCTCCCGTGGCTGACCTGTAACTACCCTCTGAAGACGCGCAGTAAAAAACTAGTACCTCGGAGGTACTAGTTTCCGGGAACCACGCGGCAAGAGCGGGCACCTGATCGCATCCCTGCCGGACTCCCGTGGCATCGGGCGCCCGCCGGGTTATCCCCCCCCCAATGCCTCCAGAAGGCGCCCAACAGCGCATGCGTACAAAGACGTGCGGCGTCGTTGGAGTAGCGGGAAGGCCACGGGAGGCTGCGATGGGGGTGAGCAGCAGCGGCCAGACGGAGAGCGGGCCGTGTGTCCCGGGGAGGGAGGGCGGGCGGGCTGCTGGGGGAGGGGGGATCTGGCGGGTTACTCCCCCCTCCCCCCCATTGTGAGCGGCCCACGGACCCTGCCTGGAGTGGGCTGTGCACGGCCCTCCCAGAGGCAGTGGCTCGTTCCGTCCCCTTCCCATCGGCCGGATGGTCTCGGTGGAGGTGCGGATACTCTGTGATCGGCACCTCCACCCTAACCATGGCACCTCGCCGGGACATCTGATCCCGCAGCAGAGCGGTATTTTGCCCCGGGGCAAACAGCCACGCTTCCCCTCTGCATTTTCCTGGCCGTATGGCCCAGGCCATAGTCTATTTTCTCATCTGCTGCTTCCCTAAAACACATCAATGCCCACCATTTCCCCTAAATTTCCCGGGTTGGGTTTAAAGCAACAATATGAAGTAGTCTTATATGGATCAGACCAATGGTCCATCAAGGTCAGTATTGTCTACTCAGACTGGCAGCAGCTCTCCAGGGTCTCTGGCAGAGGTCTATCACATCACTTATGACCTGATCCTTTTAACTGGAGATGCCGGGGACTGAACCTGGGGCCTTCTGCATGCCAAGCAGATGCTCTACCACTGAGTCACACCTCCCTCTGATAATATGGTTAACAATCTTTATTTATACATTTACCAGATACAATCTTAAGAGGTCAAGATTATGCAGTAGATACTGAACAGGTAGGCTTTCTGTTCCGTGTAACTTCAGCATTTTGGCAAAACCAGTACTGTTCTACAACTGAAGTACTAAAACATTACCCAGAAATGTTTGCTTTTCTTCCCAACTACAGTGGTATGCCATAAAGCATTACATAAATCTCTTGTAATCTGAATGCAGCAGAAAGGCTGTGAAGTGATAAGCCAAGTTTCACAGTACATAAAGTTATCTATGCATTTCTTTAATAGCCAGCAAGGAAAAGATCCTAAACCCTACTGCCAGACTATGCACCATGACACCCTATTAACCCCCAGCAGGCCACTTGGAGCTTCATAAACATTCCAAATTTGCTTCTTGTCCAGGATTGCAAGAACGGGAAGTTCCCTAAACACCTGAAAAGCTTTCAAGCAAAGCTGGTTCAGCTGCATCGGGTGAGACACAAGGTGTGCACATTTGCTTTAAAGATTCCTTTAAGCTTGGTTACATTTAGCCCTCCTATGTCAAGAGAAGAATTCGCACCATTTATTTAACAAGCTGTTTACCAGCCTTCGTTTATATGAGCACATCTTCAAACAATCCCAGATCAGACATCCTCTCATCACGTAGAAGCTTCTAATGCCTCAAGGGACTTTGTTTACCTTTAAACATACCTTAGTAGGCAAAAAGAAATTTATCCATTAGAGGTTGCAAGCTGGATGAATTCTCTAACCTCCCACTTGGGCTGTTCAAGTTCTTTGTCTCAGCTTGGCTACATGAACTTCTTCCATTTCTAGTCTTATTACCGGGGTGGGGTGGGGGGTAGATTAAAAAAACCTTAATATCAGCAGATTTAGCACTGGGAGGCACATGTTGATGTGCAATTCAATCTATAGTGGAAATGATCACTTCTCCCTTAACAGACACAGAAGCAAAAGCGGCTGTCTGCAGCTTAGTCAGCAATTATGTTCCCTGTTGAGGAGTTTTTCTTAGTAAGGCATTTTGATTTCCTATGGCTATTAATACTGTTCCCATTAAGGCCGATGCAACATCCAACTCAAAACTCGGTAGGATGGAAGGACCACCACTTTCTTCAGATGTGCTGGATGAAAGATGATCACCTGTGATATATCAGGTGCATGAAAAACTTTCCCCATCACCTTGGGAAGGGGAAAGCTGTCTTTCCCCATCACCCTGTTTCCAAGGTAGCAATCCAAAGCAAACTTGGGATGTTCTATTGAGACCGCTGGGACTTCTCAAAGTAAAGCTATATAAATGCACGAAGATACGGATGCTCGCCTAAACTCCGTGGCCCAAGTAAGTTTACATAAATGGCTGTCATTAAAGCGCTTGCCATGAAGCAGCGACACCAATGGACACACAGCTCCATTTGTCAAAGGTCTGAAAACCACCAGAATTCCAAAAGAGTGGTAATCCTCTGAACCTCTTACAGATGGGAGACAAAGGATCTGTGTAAAGAACCCACCAGGCAGTTTCAGGGGCTTTAGAAACAAATGTTAGGAACCAGCTCTTTGGGTTGTTCTTTGCTTACAGACACCGACCTGGCATGGACCGCTGCCACCTCTGGGCAGTAGGCAGAGCCTGATTTGATTAGCAGACCCAGCCTACTGGATGCCCTTCCTCAGTTAAAAGCTGCACTCCTATTTCTTACTGCTGCTTAGAGACACTTGGAACTAAATGCAGAGCAGCCACTCAAGTGCCCAGCGCAGCTTGAAAACAGCTCCATTTAAGTTTGGAATATATACTCTGGCCACCGTGAAGCTGTGGAGACTGCTCAGCTCACGTTAAGTGCTGGATCTTGCTTTCCATTTCAAAAACCTGCCTCTTCACTACCCACCCAACCCGCTGCTGCCTACACTGTTCCCAGAGAATCAGTCCTACAAGGGAAAGTGCACTCGTCTGAACGGCTTTCTAAACATTTTGTAAGTATGGCACTATTTATCCTACTGAAGTGCATCTGCCAGTGGCATGTGGCTGCTGCAGCACAAATGCTAAGCAGATGCTATTTGGACCAAGCCATGGGAAAGAATACAGTGATGTAGTCACACCACTATCCCAGACTTGTTAGAGCTTATTTCCGAACAAAAGCCCTGGACGGGCAAAACTCAGTAAACAATTCAAGATGCCAGGTTTTATACGGACCCAACACTTGAACACCAATGTGAAATAAATGGGCATGAACGCACCACACCTGAAGAGCTTAGTGCTGAGAAACAGGTCAGTCAAGTAGGACATGCTCCCAACTCTGTCATTTGTATGCACCGTCTTCCATCTAAGTCTGAAGAAAATGCTTTGCGGTTCAGTGTCATTGTCTAATTTGCACAAAACATGCGTCTCAGTTATGATGGTTTCAGGGGAAGGAATGAAGTCCTCCCCCCCCCCCCCGGATATATGGAGCACATTCTTTAACAATTAATACAGATTTAAAGCCTTTAAACAATGGCAAAAAGTAGCACCACACACCTGTGACGGCTTTAAGAGCTGGAAAAGGTTTGTCCAGCCACTTGTTCCCAAGCCAGGTATTCAGACAGCGTAGGAAACTCTCTAATTAGAGACTGAACATCCAACAATTTAAACTGTTAGGAAAATGTCATGGTTTTATTGTATAATGTAGCACTGAAACATCTGAACAAAAAAAAAAAACCACCCCAGTATCTGAGCTGCATTCAGGCTGATGTTCTTTTCTCTCCTTTTTTTGTTTCTTTGGGTTATTTAGAGAAACTTGTCAGTACAGAAACAAAACCCTTTTTTTGCATTATGGATGCTTCCCGAGGCATGCTGGTAAGACACACATTTCCCTTGTCAAATGCAGCTAAGTCTAAACTTCCAAACATCATGCACAAGGAACTCTTCTAGTGACACAACATAAAACTCTTCAGGAGGGCACGCTGGCAGAGATCTCGCTCGCTCGTCCACTCGCTGTGGTGTTGCGGGTTTGTGTATGATATTTGGAATGTTCCGTTAAGTGTGATTAATATCTGTAAGGAGGAGAAAAGAATAATGACAGGTGCCTCGGGGATGCCGTCTCAACCAAAGTTGTGCAACGCTAGCCTGAACATGTCATTGGTGCAAACCCAAGCATCATTGAAGTTCTTTAATAGAAATATCTGGTGGAATCCCATAATAGGATCTTCATCGGCCTGTGAAGAGAAAGAAAGAAGTTTTAGAACCTCTCTGCCGCAATAGATAAATTCTAGGAAGGAAATGCCTTCTAACATTGCCATGCATTCTTCACCCTTCATCAACAACAGCTGAGGTTCTGGCATGCCACTTACAATCCTGATGCAGAACTACAGGGAAGACTCGGTAGCACCACAACAGTGATACACACAGCCATGTGCAGCTCTTCTGAGCTCTGTTCCACATGGCACTTGCCCCATGTTCCAGAAGAGTGGGCAGTTTCTTTAGAAACTGGAATAATTTCATCATTACTATGCGCCCAAGATACCGCTGTCTTATTTTTAAAACACAACTTATCTATGATGATTACAAGAAGGTTGTGCAGATGTGGGGGTTTGGTGTCTGAGGCTAGGATGGGGCATACCAGTGTTGAATACTAGCCAATTAAAAACACTCCCCAGTAGTGGGGAAAGATGTCTGCAGATGCTCAGAGGTACTCCAATAATTAAAAGGCTTACATCATATATTCCCATGCATTTGGGGTGATGCACAGGACATACAGTAGTTAACACAGCTCTTTCTGTTGATGGAGATGGTAAATGTGGCTTTCCATGATCCACAGAGTGGATCTGCACTGTGAACTAGGTGGTGATCCACGATCCCTATCAGTATTCAATGCATTCACAGCAGTGAATAGCTCTGTTTATGGAAGACTACGAATTACAATGTTTGGAGATCCAGGGCAGCATTTTAAGAGCCATCAGAAGAAGCAGTATTGGGCTTGGCCAGGAGTAGTTAGTGCCAAACAGAATTAAGTTTAGCTGTCACTTGCAGAAGCTGGAAGGCTTCTTCGAACACTGATGAATTAAAGGATGAGAATCATCTGTTCCCACAAGTCACATCTGTGGCCCTGTTGAAACAAATCTGCTCACACACTAGGAGCACAAGGCACAGAACACACAAGAGGCATGGAGAACTGCTGTATATCCAAGTATTTGAAATTGGGGGGTGGGGGGGGAATGGCATCTCTCTACCAGAACTGCCAACATCTTTCTCTGGGATAAGGCAGGCCATCAAGAACAGGACCAACATCTTTCCCAACTAGATTCTAACAAAATCTGCTACAGCAAGTCTGGAAGATGACACTTTTTATTTAAGACCCACCGAGGCAAAAAAAAACCACCACGACTTTTAAGCTGCCTCTGAATTACCACCATCTTTATTGCAGAGGAGACGGAAATGCATGTAGTACCCTACAGTTCAACTTCCACAGTTTTTTCTCGTGCAAACATAAAGCCTTAGTTGATAAACGAATGCGGCAGGCCTGGTGTTCAGAGACTTTGTGTCTATGAAAAGGACAGGAAGCAAGCTGCAGTCAGATCTTCAGAAGGCTTCTGGAATACCTTTGCAGTCAAATATAATTATACCTTGAACTGGACAGAGTCTCTGCACTGGTTCTAATGAGCCTGCATCTCTCAAGGCAAATATAAAACCAGACATCACTTCAAAAATACAAACCTGTTGCATGCATTTCCACACCCCTTACACACGTATTCATTTATGTCACTTATATCCATCCCACCTTTTCTCCCCAGTGGGGACCCAAAGTAGCTTACACTGTTCTCCTCTCTTCCCCCTCCACTTAATCCTTAACAAAAATCCTGTGAGGTAGATCATGTGGAGAGGATGTGACTGGCCCAAGGTCATCCATGGCAGAGTGTGGAGTTGAATCTGGGGCTCCCAGATCCTAGTCAGAGACTCTAACCACCACACCAAGCTGGCACATAAATGCACGGATATTGTATGGGAGCCCTCTCTGTTCAGAGGATGGAACGAATCAGAGTGCTGCAAGAAGCACTGACCTGCAGAAGAAGCAATACAAAAGTGGTTCCTAAAAAGCAAAGCCCTTACACACAAGCAAGGATTTCATACAACCGCACAACTTCAGTTCCTCTCCCAGATTATTAGCAACCACATCAAGGTGCAGGTAGCCACTGCTTCATGCTGCATATTCCAAGAGGTCTTTTTATGCAAACTCACTGGCTTAGTCTCCTCGTTCTCAAAGCCACCTGACACCAAGGCCCAGGTTGGCGTAAATGCATTTGCCTACATTCACACCTTGTTTGCCTGCCACATCCTTCTGTTGCCTCCCTAGCAGTACTGAAACTCAAAAAGGTAAGCCTCTTGGAGCAGGGAGGTGTCTTTCCGCTTGAGCTCCTCTGCACAACACCATGCACATGCAACCCATGGTTTGTATCTAACCTGCCCCTGGCTCAGGTACGTCTCCCTGAACTACAAGAACAATTGCAGACACACCCACGGAAAACAGGCTTAAGATCAGACAGTTTCAAACACAAAAGACACAAGTGCTCACTGTGCACAGAACTTCTCAGATTTCTAAGCAACTGCTAAGTCTAGGATAAGTTAAGCAAGCAACGGAATGCTCCAGCATGAAGAGACAAATAGATATGCAGCTCTGCTGAATTAAATCCATAGCCGCTGCTTCCAAGGAGAAGGGGGCATCTGCTTGGTTCAGAAGCCGCAATCCTTCTTCAGTAACACACAAGCCACGGCCATGCTGTTCAGACTGAAGGACCAACCGCGGTAAGCAGCAGCAAGCGGAGTGCTTCTTACTCATTGAGGACTGCGAAGATCAGAGGTAGGAGGAAGCTGGAGGCTAAACATTGTGGAGTGCTAGCCTGAAGACTTCATTGGTGCACACCCAGGCACATTGTAAGTTTTTCAACAAAAAGGTCTGATGGAAGCCTAAAATTTGGTCATCATCTGCCTGAGCAGAACAGGAGAGAAACCATTACTAGACAGATACGATCTGAAGTTGCAGAACGCCACTGCTCTTGCTGGATTCTGTTATGAGAAGGCTGCACTGTGCATATGCAAAGCCTGGATGCTCCCCTGGCAACATGCAGAGACACCTCTTAGGAGCCTAATCTTAGAGAAGCACTATAGGGAGAAAGCAGGGATAAGATAAAATGTAATTCTACAGCATTTTGTTCATTACTGCTCCTATCTTTTATTGCCAAGCTGCAAGACCTTTTTTGACTGCATTCATCGTTTTACTGTAATTTTTATAATGGGTGGATCTCATGCTATTTTGGCATTCATGATAATAAGCCTTCCAACAGTTTACAGATAAGCCGCCTGTGACCAGGCCACCCTCAAATTTTGATTGGTGTGTCTCTGAAGTTTTGAATGTCCACCTTACACTGAGTCAGATCTTAAGTCCATCTAGCTCAGTATTGTCTACTCTGGGGGAAGCACCTCTCCAAAGGCTCAGATAAGGACTCTGCCAAACCTTTGAGCTGTGATCCTTTTAAATATACATAACACTGATTAAATCTGGGGACAGTCTGTGTGCAAAAAGAAGAGACTGGATTTATACCCCGCTCTTTACTACCTGAAGGAGCCTCAGAGTAGCTTACGATCTCCTTTCCCTTCCCCTCCCCCACAACAGACACCCTGTGAGGTATGTGGAGCTGAGAGAGCTCTTTTTAGAACTGCACTGGAGAGAACAGCTCTGAAAGAAATTATGACAGACTGACCCAAGGTCACACCAGCAGGTGCATGTGGAGGAGTGGGGAATCAAACCCGGCTCTCCCAGATTAGAGTCCACACACTTAACCACTACACCAAACAGGAATTGCCACCACTGAGCTGTAAGTATTTTTCCCTGTCACTTGCTTGAATATGAAAAATGAAGTTCTAAGAAGTTAGCATAATGCTTACAAAGGAAAGACGGATGTTTATCCGTGAAGGCAGCTTAGATGTCTTGATCTGCCAAACAAGACCCACCTGGCACTGCAACAGATACATTCTGAACAAAACCACCAGTGGTATTGCACCAGCAGCCGCTGAGACAGGGCAACGTGCAGAAGGGACGGGAAGCTCTTGACTCCAGAGAAGCTTGAAGCAGCAGAGTCTCTCATCCCATGTTTCTCAGTCTTGCCTACGACCACTTGCAGAGGTATGCATATCTGATGTGCATTCTATTCCCTCCTTCTTTTACGTACCACATTTGAATGGCACTACTAGACACAGCTGAGACCATCAGAAGGATGAGAGGCGGCGGCAGCACCAAGTCAGGCCCTCCCTAGGCTGTGCCTGAACCCAGACCTAGCATCTGAGGACACTGGGGAGGGGGTGCCACCTGTGTTCCCTCTGAGTCAGGGTGAGCTAGCTCACAGTTTTTTAGCCTCTGGCTCACACATTTTTTATCTTAGCTCAGGAAGGATGGCTTCAGGGCAAACTAATTTATGCAGTAGCCAAATCGCTCGGCCACAACTTTAACGCCAGTAGCTCACAAAGTAGAATTTTGCTCACAAGACTCCACAGCTTAGAGGGAGCATTTGGGTGCCACCCAGGCCACCCTTCGGTCCACGGCCAGATGAAGACTCAAGATCTCGCACCTTAAGCAACTGCCCAGGTTTGTCTAGTGGTCAGGCTGGCCCTGCTTTACGGTCCTACTAGTTCCCTCTGTCCCTGCTGGCCTGGGAACCCACAATCCTCTTCAGTAGCTGGCACTTGCTTCCCCAAGCAACCCACTCAGTGGACGCAAATGCTGTGGCAGCTCTAAATGTGGAAAGGGACACCGGAGAAGCTTCTTCAATTCATTTCCCATGCCCCTTCTGCTCCTTGCCGGGGAAAAGAGCAGTCTTCGCAACTCTTGCAGCAATGCTGCATTCCTAGCACTAACCTCGTGAAGCTGCATCATGTGAGGGGGTCCAGAAGGTGAAAATGGCCACATCTACAACCAAGTGCCATGACAGTATGCGGTAGAAATGACATGCCTTTTCCCCAAAGTACCTGCAGCCTTTGTTCCGACTGGAGCGCTGACAGACAGTTTGCCTTCAGCTGCCAAAGCAGGGGGCCAAGACTTCTGAGAAGAGCCTCGCAGCCCTGCCTGATCATGGCAGAAACTGCCGACAGGAAATGACAAAATAGCAAGTCACTCTGAGCCTGGCCTTGCACAGAGGTTCCCGTTCAGCTCCTCCTTGGCAAGGAGGGCCACAGCTGTAGATCGAAGCCTCAACGACGCCCTCGGTTCACCCCGCTGAGGCATGAGAATCTTTCCATTCATTCTCTCAAGACGTACTATAACCTCTGAGCAATCCTTCCAAATGCCTCTTTTTCAAAGGCGGCCCCTTGCAAAAGCCGACTGGGGCAAGAACCTCTCTGATCAGGAAAAGCGAATCTTCCTCTCAACCAGGCATTGGCTCTTCCCTCACCCGTCAACCCGCACGACCCAATAGCAGACGTCCCTCAGAGTGCCGAAACAACCTGCCCCAACATACAAGTGGTGCTCCAAACAGCAACTCACAGGATTCAGAGGTTGAGGAAACATTTACCTTAAGCTGTCCAACTACCATACTGAGTATACAGCTGTCGGGTGTGGGCTGATGGTCTTGTGCTGTGATGCTGTGCTGTATTTTCTGAAAAGGAAGGCTCTGTCATGGAGGAAGAGGGGAGAGAGAGACTGAGTAATTGGGAAGCAAAATTCCTCAGCATTTATTTACAGCAAGGAAGTTAGTGGTCAAGTGTGACACACACCTCTTTGGAAAAACTGCAAGTTCACTTTTTCTACCTTGATCTGGTTATTGCTGGGGAGGGGTTTTCCACTTTCTAAAAACAGCAGCAACAAAAATGTTTACCCGCTCTAGGCAAGAAGTAGTGATAGTCAACTACGGGAATGTAAACACAGGTCAAACACTGGGATGCCTTATACTGTTTAACAGCCCAGTAATGCACGTCATGAATCGCTATGGTGCAGACAAGACATTAAGTGACTAAGTGTATTTATACCAGATGCTTCACTGATGAACTGTGTGCTGAGTTTCACCATGTACCACTCTTAGAGCCACTGGAATCAAATGGCCTTAGGAGCTGTAACACTGCTCGATTGTGGCTTAAATATTTAGCTATTAAAGAACAGCCAAGCTTGTGTCTCAAGAGACAGCAGCAGCAGACTTTGGAAAGCATGTTGTGATGAACCCTGGAAATTTAAGTCCCTCCAGTCCATCTGCCCTGACCCAGATTGACCAGGCTAACCCAATCTTGTCAGATCCTGGAAGCTAAGCAGTGTCAGCCCTGGTTAGTACTTGGGTGGGAGACAATCAATGAAGTCCAGGGCTGCTTCACAGAGTCAGGCAGTGGCAAATCACCTCTGTTTGTCACTTGCATTGAAAACCTCATGGGGTCACCATAAACCAGCTGCGAATAGACCACACTTTCCACCATCCCCAAAATGTATCCACTCAACCACTTTAAACCAGCTTGTGTAAAGCATTCTGATAGTGATTCATGGTTTCCCCCCAAACTGAATTCAGCATTGCAAGACACCATGCTGGTACACTACCCTTCTCAGCCAAAATATGGATGCAAACAGGGTGTAAGTCCCGTTGATTTAAATAGGACTTTCCTCTTAGTAAATACGCTTCGGATCACTGGACGTCATTTCAGCTACGCAGATTAGAAGCCCCGCCAATGCAGCGTGCCTTGTAATGGATTTGCCCCAATCACCTTCCCAGAAATACCAAAAGTAAAACTAGAAACTATCTTGCGTGGAATCATGTCGTTTCGGGGGCGAACAGAAACAGAGTGTATGAAGCTATTAATATTGGAGAGACTTACTGAGAGTTTTTCAACAATAGCTGCTTTGCCCTGAAATTGCTGTCCTTCCCACGTAAGGCATGAGGCGTCTATCTGTAATAAAGAAAGAGATATGTGGTCACGGTCTGCTTGGGAAAGGAAGGGGACCTTTACACAAAATGGCAAATGATCAGGCTACAGTCCTCCACGTACTGGCAAATCAGCTGAGAAGCAAGCGCAAACCATGTTGGGAGGGCATAAAGGTAAAGGTTCCCTTGCTCGAAAGCCAGTCGGATCCGACTCTAGGGTTGCGGTGCTCATCTCCGTTGCAAAGCCGAAGAGCCAGCACTGTCCGAAGATGTTTCCGTGGTCATGTGGCCGGCATGACTAAACACCAAGGCGCATGGAAGGCTGTTACCTTCCCACTGAAGTGGTACCTATTTATCTACTTGCAATTTCTTGCTTTCGAACTGCTAGGTTGGCAGGAGCTGGGACCAGAGACGGGAGCTCACTCCGTCATGCGGCACACTCGGGTCTCAAACTGCTGAACTACCGACCTTCCACAGCCTGCAGTTCAGCGTCTTAACCACTTGAGCCACCACAGCTCCGTTGGGAGGGCATAGAAAAGTGTTAAATGGCTCGTGAATGGAATTCCTCCTACCCAAGACAACTACGCAGCCGGAGTCCTGCAAGGGTCACACTTCCCTCTCCCTTCATCGCAGGCTGCCTGCCTCACACTCTGCCTCAGCCAAAGCAATAAAATGATGTCACGGAATATTTCCTCCCGGGGGTTTTCTCGAACCTGAGCACTTATGCAGCAAAAGGCAGCTCTTGGGCTAAATCTAGCTCTCTTAAGGGTGTTGCCCCACCCCCACCCCCTGTGCCATTTCTCAACCGAGCAACAAAGATGGTGGAGAAAATGGTATCTGCGAGAACAGATATTGCTGGCTGCCTTGTAAAACATGGTATATACCTTGCCGACATTAAAGACGAGCTACATTATACAGCAAATTTCAGGGTTAAACTTACTGGGGATGAAGATACCAAAATAAAGAATTAATTGATTTACCAGATGATCAGTCAACCACCAACCTGATTACAGCCACTCCACTGGTTTCCCTAAAGCATTCACCACAAAGGTCCCCCCCCTTTTAAAAGCAGCTGTTGAGCAGCTCCTTTCTCACAAATTTTTACAACACAGATGCCAATTGTCATTCAACACCAACAGGAAAAAAGCATGCCAGTTGTTCTAAGCAGCTGCAATCTTTCTCTTAGCCTTGCTTTTCCAGATTTTTATTTTTATTTACAATCTCCACACCAGCTGGTACTTAAAAGAATTCAGTGATGAAGCATCAGATACTCTGCTGTGAGCGGAATGCCGCAAGTAGTATCAGGAAGTCTTCTGTCCTCATGTGTGTCGCCCAATGAGCGTAGTGATTTCCCACACATTTTGAGAGCAATCAAATTATTTTGAAAACAGAGTGTTCTCAAATATTATGGAATACTGTGTGCAATGCTGATCACCACACCTCAGAAAGGATATTATAGCATTGGAAAAAGTGCAGAAAAGGGCGACTAGAATGATAAAAGGGTTGGAACACCTTCCCTATGAAGAAAGGTTAAAGCGCTTGGGGCTCTTTAGCTTGGAGAAACGACAACTGAGGGGAGACATGATAGAGGTTTACAAGGTTATGCATGGGACAGAACAGGTAGAGAAAGAGGTACTTTCCCCCCTTTCTCACAATACAAGAACTCGTGGGCACTCAATGAAATTGCTGAGGGGTCGGGTTAGAACGGATAAAAGGAAGTATTTCTTCACCCAAAGAGTAATTAACATATGGAATTCTCTGCCACAGGAGGTGGCGGCGGCTACAAGCATGGACGGCTTCAAGAGGGAATTGGATAAACATATGGAGCAGAGGTCCATCAGTGACTATTAGCCACAAGGTATAGATAGAAACTCTCGGTCTGGAGCAAGTGATGCACTGTATTCTTGGTGCCTGGGGGTGGGGGTAACAGTGGGAGGGCTTCTAGTGTCCTAGCCCCACTGCTGGACCTCCTGATAGCACCTGGTATTTTTAGCCACTGTGTGACAGAGTGTTGGACTGGATGAGCCACTGGCCTGATCCAACATTGCCTTCTCGTATGTTCTTATGTGTCTTTTTAAAATTCGCTCCAGGAAATTGCTGTCAGGTTAAGTCAGAATTTCCTGCACTGCTCCCTAACTCTCTGCATTTTGGGTTGCTCAGAGCTCTGCAAAGACAATTCCCTTTATTCAACCCACAGCTACACAGCTCAGTTGGTAACACCTCCTAGGGGCAAAACATTAATGCTTTAGGCCATTGGTTCTAAACTTCTTGAAGTGGGACTCCCTTGCAAAACTTACTCCACCTTTTCAGGATCCACAACTGAAGCTGGATCTCAGCTAAGACTAGCGTGGGTTCTCGAGGTAACAGACACAGATTATGTCAGTCCTTTCCCATGCCCGTGGCAGCTGGGAGGGAGCTAGCTGAGTTTCTGCAGACTGGTTAGTGCCTGCATGGGAGTCCACCAAGGAAGTCCAAGGCTGTTATGCAGAGGACAGTAATGGCAGATGACAAGGCAGGGGCTTGACTTAGACTGACCCATGGCACTGTGGGTCAGGAGACAATGGCTGCAGTTCATGCCTCCTGTGCCACAGATGGCACCATCTGAGCCCTTGGGAAATGAGTGGTACCCGCAGGGGAAAGGGGGGCAGGAGAAGACAATGGGGGCAGCTCTGCCCCCCTCCTCTTCTTCTTCCACCCCATGGAACTTGGGGGCCCAAAGCCTCATGGTGCAGTTCTGAGCCACAACCACAGGTGCAGAACCATGCCTTAAGGCCAAACAGCTAAACCACTTCTCTAGGGGAAAATCTGCAGAAGCCAGAGGCGTGAGTTCTAAAAACCTATGCCTTTGTCTCCTACCCACTACATTCACTGTACTGCAATCACCACATGTAAGGACTGCAAACCCTTCTGCCTTCTAATGCACACAGGCAGTTTCTGGGCACACTCTGTTCCCTCAAGCTTCTTGATTCGGAAGACGCTCAAGTGCTGCTTTTAACTAAAGATGTTCAACAGACAGAAGGGCATTCTGACCCTCCCCGTGCTTGCTGACAGGTAAAGCAATGCTACTTGCCCAGTCTCAAACAGGTAAGAGAAAGCCCTTCCAAAGGGGGGGGGGGGAGAAGCAACATTTGGTAAAATTTAAAATCTTCGACGTTAGCTCTTCACTTTAGCTGAAGTACTGCAGAGACTTCACTCCCTTGTTTCACAATCCACGGGCCACAAGAGGACAGAAGTCCATTCTGTCACGTTCCCCTAGGCAGCAGAGCCTAACCATAACCAGTTCCACAAAGACTCATGTAGAAAACAGGAGCTCAGCCATCCCTTTGGCCAGTGCTGTGTCTGGACAAGAAAAGCTTATGCAGAAGCCCTGCACATGTTAGGGGGCACACCCAGTCATGCTTGTACTTCCACTGTTGCAGGTAGCAGGTTGATCAATGGGACAGAGATCATTCTGGACTCCTTCCAAAACAAAACATTGTTGGGGTGCTTACTGACCTGTTTACTTTCATTCTTTCCCAATGAAACAGATGCATTTGTAAAAAAAAAAGCAAAACAAAAAACCCTCAGTGAGCAACCATTCAAAAGAGCCAAAGGAATCCCATCCCAGGAACTACTTACATATATTGCTCCTAACTGAGTCCTGTCTGTATCGAATAACTGGTAGTAATGCTGTACAAAGCTAGAACCGATCTGCTCCCAAATGGGCTTGTCTCCCATTCTGAATCCTCAGCTGGAGCCAGCAACTGAAATAAAAGAAAGAGCAATGAAAGTGGACGGATTAGACAATGGGATCCCGTGACAACACAATGGAGCTGTTCAGGTTTTCGGTTAGCTGTAACCCTTTCCCCCTCCAGGGGATTTGAGCATCCGGAGCGGCAGAGAACTTTCTCCAGTTTGCATTGCTGCACTGAAGCCACCCGACTGCAGCTTGTTTGCAGACACTGGTATTTAGGTACTCCTTATGCCCTGGCACTGAAGAACGTAATATCCAACAGCACTAAGAGGATGATGCTTTTGCTCCACGGCAGGTCTCCTTATGAGTATTTTAAGCCACTCTCCAGCTTCCGGAAGTCAAACTGAGAATCTAGGGCTGAGTCACTCTGGATGCAATGCAGACGACCCTCACACTTATTCAGTTATAGCAAAGCAGTTGTACAATTTCACTCATCTGATATGAACACTGAATGCCTTCAATTGAACGGATGTGGCAGGGTTGTTGCGTCGCTCCCCTGACTGCCTAACTAAACACTCTTGCTAGTGGAATATAATCTGTGGTGCTTGTAGTGCAAAGGATAGATGCCAGCCCTGAAGCTGGGACAGACTACCAATCCTGGCCCAAGTCATGAAGATACCACACAGTGCTCACAGCATTCTTATCTTTTGCCAGTGAAGACCTACAGCTTTTAGGCCAAGAAAGCAAGAACACACAAGCAACTGCCATAATGATGTTCTGGTTTCCATTTTTTACTGTCACCCTCTACGCACGAGAGCAGCTGTGCTGAGCAACACAGTGTGCTGCCCTAGAAACAGTAAAGCGGGGGGAGATATAGGGGAGCAGGAGGTCAGCGCCAGTTTCCTGTATTTGCAAGACCTAATTAAAATCAGAATCCATCAACGGATTCAAAAGAGTGCGTGGTTCGCTTTTCCAAGGTTGATTTTTAGTGTACAAATAGGTGAGATGGGAGATAACTTCACACTGGCAGAAGCAGCATTGGCAGTTACTGTGGCTTTGTACAATAGTGTATATCTAAACGCACAAGTCGAGGGAAATCCCAGTGATCTCAGAGGGCAGCTGTGACTCAGCAGGGGAGGGGCTGTGGCTCAGTGAAAGAGCCTCTGCTTTACATGCAGAAGGTCCCAGGTTCGATCCCCAGCATCTCCAGTTGAAAGGACCAGGTAGTAGTTGATATAGAAGACCTTTGCCTGAGATCCTAAAGAACCACTCCCAGTCTAAGGAGACAACGCTGATGGTGATGGACCGATGGTCGTATTCAGCATAAGGCAGCTTCATGCACGTGGTTATTGCTTCAGTTGTAAGAGAAGGAAACTGAGAAACAACTCATCAAGAACAAGACTAGGAGCAGCAACTTCCCTACAATGCAAGCTTCCAGACAAAACTTTAGCAAAGAGTGAGGATGAAGCAACCATTTTTGTGCAGGACCCAGAAAATGGAAACTCATATTAAAGAGTAAGCGGAGCATTAAAAATGCTGCATTGCTCTAGGAGATCTGAAGATTAAAACTGAAGACTATCTGCTGTCAGCTACACTGCCATTGTAAAGGGGGGGAAGGCAGGAGGCTGCTGGGTGAACATCTTAATGTGTTGGAATGTTAACTTTTCATTTATTTCACTGTGCCTTATCTCTTAACTGGGCTTCTGACCCTGGTACCTCGTTCCTGTTGCTTCGCTGGGAATCTGAACCCTGGGAATCCGAACCCGTTAGTTTAGGTGCGTTGCAGCTCATCCTCTGATTGGCCTTATTCCATCAGGGGACCCCACTTTGAATCCGGTATAACTTCCCCTCTCCCACCCTTGTAGTTAGATCTAACACTGAATGTCTGGACAGATGACCTACCTTTACTGTACTCAATAAACCTGATCCTTCTGAAGGAACGTTGTTGAAACAGATTCCTGTGGGACTCTTGACACCTGCTCCCTCAAGAAACTAGTACCCTCTGCCAGGACAATATACTCCCTCTCTTCCTTCAAATACCTCTCCAAATCCCACCTTTCTATGAAGCATCTGGAACACTTTTAGTACTCCTCTAAAGATGCAAAGAACCGAAATACACACACATTCCCCCCCCACACACACTCAGGAGCTTTTTTATTATTGGGGGAAAAAATGAAATTTTGGGGAGCCCTGAATAAGAATTTTGGGGACTGAGTGAAATACTATTCAAAAACAAGTTATTCCCCCAAAATGTAAAGTATGACCATTCTTATGTAGGACAATCTACAGCACGATGATTCCTGTGTGTACTGCAGACACCACTTATTTCCAAAGATGTTACAGGGATTGGAAAAGAAGTCCCCCGCCCATTACTTCAAAATTTCCAAATAGGTCACATCTCCGTCCTTGTCTCCTAACTGAAACGAAATAAATGCTTCTTTACTGAATGCACCATTTTCTCTTGCCTCCAGCTCCCCCAGCCTTTCTGTTGCCTCCCTTGATTTTTGCATTGTAAGGTTCTTGTAGCAGGGACCCTGTTAGTACAGTCGGCATTTTGCAAAGCAGTGGGCACACTAAGAGAACTATATAAATACATGAAATTAAAATTATATCACCCCCCCCCCCAGAAAGCATTTTAGAAAGGCATGCCTAACTAGCACAGATGGACACTATCAAGCATGCCCTATTAAAGCATCACACAGCCATACATGCAATGAGCAGCAAGATAAATGTGTGTGTGGGGGGGTGTCAACTATCTCAGAAGCGCATGCAGAAAGCATCGAGTTAGTTCTAGTGGCAATAAACATTTCTCAACTATAGCAAGAACAATGCAGAGAACTGAGACTGCTGAAAGAAAGCTCTGGGCAAACAGCTAATCTGCCATAACCTTTTCCGAGAGTGAGTATACACAGCTTGACTTGCACGGTCATTTTAATCTGGGATTAATGCGACCATGGAAACATAGTCCATTCAGAAGGCTAAAAGGGTCTATGGGTTTTGAACGGATGCCTATTCTTTCCTGCGCTGCACAGAAGGACGTCAGAAAACTATTTCATCCCGTTTCCAGAAACATAGGCTATCAACTACCGAGCAAAGGCGTGACCTAACCAGTTCCTGGATGACTTCCCCCCACTGAAGGAGAACAGGATTCGGGATTGGTACCCAAAGAACAAAAAAGCAACTGCCCTAAGTGCACACCCAGGTGTTCTCTGATGCTCCACATCTGTTGAACTCTCTTTCCCTGACAAATCTGAAAAGCTCATTAGCTCATTTTCTGTAACATGTTACAGGAGTGGCTTATTTGCTCTCTTTTTATTCCAGATGTTTTGTCACTAACCTAATGCTACTTGCCCAAAGTAGACAGAAATATAAGTTCTACATAAAACCTTCATAGTAAAAAAAAACCCCACACCTCAAACACTATTGCTGCCTCTTTGTTACTTGTAAGCAGCAATTTGATTAGCCTGCAGATTAAGATAACAGCTCCTTTGCTTCAGTATCTTCCCCAGAACACGGCTGCCCAATGCAGATGTCCTTGGTAGCGTAATCCTAAAAACACTTCCCTGGGAGTAAACCTCACTGAGCAAGAGATTCTTACTAAAAGGCAACACTAATTCTTACTAAAAGGCATACCAGGTTCCATAAAAAGTGAACCCCAATACACAAATCTCAAAGATGGCAGCATTTCTATGTTCTTAGCTTATTTGGAAAATCAGAGTATTCACAGTTTCACTGGCACACAAAGCTATATTGTTTCCACAATGATAAGTGTCATTCCAATTATTTATGAGTTTTTGTTTTACTCCCTTTAGGACGGCACTTGTCATCTGATTTCATGCCCTTGCAGAGCAGGTAAGCCGCTCTCTCTTTTCAGCATTCTGTTTCTCCTCTTCTTAGCACGCTCCTTCTAATGTAAACCGCACAGGCAGCCATGTTCGGTGCCACATGGGCATTAGGCAGGCACTCAAGCTTAATGCTTGCCTTGAACCAAAACGTCAGCTGGGAATGTATACAATGTACACCATTGTTCAGGGAACCCTCGATGTCTAAATGGAGAAGGCTTGGAAGCGTGCTACCTTTCCCTAATGCAAGGTCCACTTCAGCTTAAGATCGTCATGGCTGCTCCCAGTCTCAAGGCTGGGCTGAAATACGTCTTCAGTATGTTACAAAAATGCACGACACTCTGGAATTTGACCAGCACCTTGCCAACAAACCCCACAGAACAGTACTAGCTGTAGCATGGCTGCCCTCACATACTTATGTTTTTATGCATTGATCTTAAAAATTTCGATCCCGCCTTTCTCCCCAACGGGAACCCAAAGCAGCTTGAAGTCCCATTCTCTCCTCCTCCATTTTTATCTTATCAACCATCCTGTGAGGTAGGTTCAACTGAGATAGAGCAACTGGCCCAAGGTAACCCAGCGAACTTCCATGGCGATGTGGGGATTCAAACCTGGGTCTCCCAGACGCTAACCTGACGCTTAGCCGTTAGACTACACTGTACATCTGTCATGCAACTTCCTCCCAAGTAGAATACACCCCATTTTCCTCTTCTCTAAGGAATCTCAAAGCTAGGGTTGCCAGCCTCCAGGTGGGGCCTGGAGCTCTCCCGCTTTTACCACTGATCCCCAGCAGGCAGAGATCAGCTCCTCTGGAGAAAATGGCTGCTTTGAAAGGTGGACTCTATGGCCTTGTACCATGCTGAGGCCCCTCCCCTCCCCAAACACCACCCTCTCCTGGATCCACCCCCAAAGTCTCCAGGTTATTTTCCAACCCAGAGCTCGCAACCCTACTCAAAGCAGCTTACAATCTCACCTTCCCTTCCTCTCCCCACAACATGTACCTTATGAGGTAGGTGGGGCTGAGAGAGCTCTGAGAAAACTGTGAATGGCCCAAAGTCAGCTGGCAGGCTCAGTGTGGAGAAGTTGGGAATCCAACCTGGTTCTCCAGATCAGGGTCTGCTGCTCTTAACCATTATAGCAGTAAATTTCCTAACGTTTCCATGCCTGATCACCTGGAGGAGATTTTTACTTGCCAGGGAAGAGTGGCTGTTTACAAACCACCTTTCTGGGGAAAGCAACAGTTCACTCTGGCAGAAACTCTCACGTCTCCTCTCGCACTATTTCTAATGGTAGGCAAACCACCACTGGCTTTAATACCAATACCGAACCATTAAGTTGCTACAGTAGTGCAGATGTAACAGCACAAAACGTTAATTTCAAGGACAAGTGTTAAGTCTGAGGGAAATCCAGTTTTCTATATGTGTTAGAAGTCACAAAGAAGACTCTGTACCATGGAAAGCAACTCTTTTGTACCAAATATATGTCCCAGGGAAGGCAAATGCTGGCAATGTTAGTTCAAGTTTTAGTATTATATGAAATGCCAATGGCATACTGCACGGACTCTTGGTTCTATCCCTAATGCTCCTGCTTCAATGACTGTTCAAATTGAGTCAAGGATATGACATTTACACAGTCTCCCCTGTCCCACTGAACAAAGCCACAAGCATTTTAGGATCATTCTTCACAACTCTATGGAGTCTGCCATGACTACCTTTTCCCTCTGCATTTTCTGCTAGCAGTTCCTCCCAGGGCTATACCTTATACTACACATAAAAATTTTCACGGGGGGACAGTGGAATGCCTCCTTGGGTCAATTTCACTTACACTAACAAAAGCAATAAAATAAGAATTTTACAATGCTCATGGTTCACTGGAGTCTCATAGCTTCCAAAATACTAATTTTTTAAAAAAATCACAGAGGTTTTTGAAATAGCAGAGGCAACAGTATGAGCAAAGGGAACAACTTCATCAGTATTCACTTTTGGGGGGCTTTGTTTCTGGTTAAGGGTGTACAGAGCTGTGCCAGCAGTGGTACAGCTATGGAAAATAACATTATACCCCACCCTGAGCCTGCTTTGGTGGGGAGGGTATAAATTAAATAAACAAACAATGTGAAGCAGCCAGAACTGAGGATAGTCACATGTTTCAGTCTGGGGAGGGAAAAAATCTAGTTCTGATTTTGTTGTTGCTGCTGTTTGTGACAATGTCGGTCTTACTAAAACCCCAGTTTGGGAAAGGTCTCCACCCACCTAGCAAAAGAGACATACTAATGCTAAGACACTCCCCACCCACCCCCCGCAAAGAAGGGAATTTCTGGTTCCAGAACACAAGGACCAAAACTCAAATTGTTAGCCTTCTGAAAATGTTAGCCTTCCTCAGTCTCTCCTCTCCTAGATGGATCGCGGCACAACAGCTTAAATGGATAAGGAGGTTTCTTGAGGAGCTGACATTTGTTTCTAGACTATAAGTTTTGGACACAGAGCTATTACACACCACTCTTCTAATGTAAACACCCAATGGTGTCCTCTTGTACAGCATTCATTCACTCCCTTCTAGTCTGACTTGTACTTCCCTTTGCGGTACCTTTCTTTAGTTCTTCTAGTTACTTCCCTGAAAGAGATTACACACATGAAGTGAGCACTTGGTGAGTCTGTACGAATACAGTTGGTTCCCTTACTTTCCTATTTGTTATCCCAGAAAATAATGCTGATCTTTTAACTTATTAGTATATACCTCAACAGCCTGAGAGACCATCAACATCTTCTGTGCTTTAAATCATCATCAGAGCCCATGGAGCAGTGACCAGAAGTCCCAAGAAACACCTGGAGAGACTGGGCATTGAGCAAATAACACCATCTCAGGTCCAGAAGACAGTGTTGCTTGGAACAGCAAGAATCCCGTGAAGATACATCTGCAATTCCCAAAAACCTGCAGAACACCATCTACCAATCAAATCTATGGTAATTCATAATAATAATAGTGTGCTGTCATTGTATGGGGGGGAGGCAGCTGGGTGAGCGCCTTCATGTTCTGGAATTTTAGCCTTCACTTCTTCTACTGTGTCTTATCTGTTAGCCTGACCTTGGTACTTCGTGCGCTTTGCCTTGCCTGGGAACCACCCCATTATTTTCGGCACGCAAGGCTTGCACCTCTGATTGGCTCAGCTCCATCAGGGGGGGTCTCACTTTGAATGTAGTATATCTTCTCTCCCGCCAGGAGAGTTAGCTCTAACAAAGAATGTATGCACGGATGAGCTGCCTTTCCTATCTTCAATAAACTTGATCCTTCTGAAGAAACGTTGTTGAGACTGATTGCTGTGGGACTCTGGCACTCAAAGCAACCCTAGGGTGATGAGATGAGCAAAGGTGATTTGCCATTCCTGTCCTCTGCATAACAGCCTTGGACTCCCATCCAGGTACTAACCATGTGGGACCCTGCTTAGCTGCCATGGTCTGATGACACGTGGGGTTTATTCAGGCTGCTACTTTGAATGCTACTATACAGATTTTCATATACCATCATCCTGCCTCCCTGCAGGAAAAATCCTCAGCATTTAAACATGCTGACACCTAGGAGAGTGATAGAAATCCCAATACCACCAAATTCAATTTATGGCATAATGCACTTATGAACATTCAGTTTTGCAAGCATATCTCCAGTGGTTTAGTAATTTATTTACTTAGATTTACTGGGGATTTACTGCGGTGGCTCAAGTGGTTAAGACGCTGAACTGCAGGCTGTGGAAGGTCAGTAGTTCAGCAGTTCGAGACCCGGGTGCCGCATGATGGAGTGAGCTCCCATCTCTAGTTCCCGTTCCTGCCAATCTAGCAGTTTGAAAGCAAGAAATTGCAAGTAGATAATAAATAGGTACCACTTCGGTGGGAAGGTAACAGCGTCCGTGCGCCTTGGTGTTTAGTCATGCCAGCCACATGACCACGGAAACGTCTTCGGACAGCGCTGGCTCTTCGGCTTGGAAACGGAGATGAGCACCGCAACCCTAGAGTAGGATTTGACTGGCTTTCGAGCAAGGGAACCTTTACCTTTTTACTGGGGATTTACTTAGGATTTCATTTGTGTGCATACTTTTGTATCATGTGCAAGTTTCACCACCTTACCCTTGTGTGTTTTTACAGTGATTAATTTGTTAACAGGAAAGATCCTAGCCCAAATACTTAGGCCAGAAGACTTCCTCACATTGATTTACAACAGACTGTTGTTTAGCATCACTCAAGGTTTAAAGAGGTCCCTTATCTGCCTTGAAGGACTTCATCAAGGCTTTCTAATGAACTACTCATCCTTAACAGCATGTTCGACAATCATACCTGAAGTAGAATTTTAAAAACCCACATCAAGTCTTTAACAGATTGTTGTTTCCAATTTCTTTATTTATGCCCAGACCCAATGGGAACCCAAAGTGCCTTATCGCGATAAGTTATTGCATTCTCCTCTCCTCCAATATTACTCTTTCAACAACCATGTGAAATAGGTTAAGCCGAGTCTGTATGACTGGCCCAAGGCCACCCAGCAAGCTTCCATGGCAGGGAGGGGATTTAAAGCTGTGTGTGCCAGAACCTAGGCCAACACAGCCATTTAGAAGAAGTCACAGGCCCCGAGTTCTTTGATCTAACCTGCAGCAACAGTCCTATCTTTTTATTTTAAAAAATGCTTGTTGCACTTTTAGAACCCCACGTGAATGGTGCATAACTTACAGAAACACAGAAGAAAGGCCCGTCAAACTCACACAAACAGGCAGCTCCCTAGGCAGCTCCCAGCAAGTGTTTCCTCTAAGCTGAATTAGTGTGAGCTAGCTCAGTTTTTTAGCTTCCGGCTCACGCCTTTTTGTTTCAGCTCAGGAAAAATGGCTCCAGAGCAAACTAATTTATGCGGTAGCCAAATCGCTCGCTCACAACTTTGATGCCAGTAGTTCACAAAGTAGAATTTTTGCTCACAAGACTCCACAACTCAGAGGGGAGCATTGCAAACAGTCCTGAACCTGAGGCAGTGCTCCGGATATTCGGGAGGGTTAACGAACGGGGGGGGGGGGGGGGGGGGGGGGAGAGCAAGCGTTCCCCCACCCCGGCCAATACTAAAAAGAGAATCCGGAGGCACTTGCAATGTAAGCCTGATGAAGTAAACTCTGACTCAGAAAAGTTTATACTGAAACAAAAATGGATTCGTCCGTAAGGAGCCAAAAGACTCCAGTTTCATTCGGCTGCAACAGACTTAACACAACTCTATCCTTGTTGCGAAATTGTCCATTTTAAAACACCAGAAACTTAGGCGCTCGTATGCCTGCGGAAGGGCGCTTCCGCCACAACCCGCGCACGTGGTGGGGCCCGGCGCTCGAATGCACGCGGGAAACCCGAGGGGCGTAACATCTTCAGACGTGAGCACCAAAAGCGACAGAGAGCGAGGCTTGCACCGGCGTATGAGCAAGAGGAAAGCTGTCTGCGCTGCTCGGCCACAAAAAGCCAGGCACAAAAGCCCCGCGCGGTCCGCTCCTGGCTCGCCGGCACACCCACTGCCTCGCCCTTCCCCGCTCTTAGAGAGGCCTTTTGGGGAAAAGGGGGGGGAGGGGGGACGGAGACCAGGCGCGCCCCCGCTGGCCAGGCCGAGCCCACGACCTCCAGGGAGCCGGGAGACCCGCCCTGCTACTTCCGTCCACCCATCCCGCGCCTGTTGGAAGCGCGTCGCAGAGGCACTCACCTCACAGCTCCCACTAGGCTAATGGCGGCAGCGGCGGCACCGAGAGCGGCCCGAACCCACTGAGCCCCCCTCTCTCTCGCTCCCTCTCCCTCACTCTCTCTGGCCCCCGCCTCTTCCGGGCCACGCCTCGGCCGCCGCCCGGCATGCTGGGGAAGAGAGTCCCGCCGGCGGAATGCGCGAGCCCTTTCTGGAAAAAGGGTGCACTACAAATCCCGTCGCGCATCGCGATGAAAGGCTTCTGGGCTTGACGGGCCGCAAAGCATTGTGGGGAAGCAAAGCATTGTGGGGAAGCAAAGGGTGGCGCTTTTTTTTTTTTGCTGGCGGTGCCCGAGGGAGGGGGGTAGCAGAGCACTTCTGAAGAGTTTCGCTCTTTCACAGACATTGAAGAACGCACTTTCAGTCCGCGTTAACAGTGTTTCCAACTGGATGTTGCTGTTTTCACACGGTAAAATCCAGTTGCAACGTGTGTGGAAAGTGCATTATTCAGCTGCATGTATGATTTGTTGTTGTTGTTGTTGTTCAGTCGCACAGTCGAGTCCGACTCTTCGCGACCCCATGGATCATCTCCCGCCAGGCCCTCCTGTCTTCCCCCGTCCTCTGAAGTTGGCTCAACTTCATGTTCGTTGCATCTATGACACTGTCTAACCATCTCATCCTTTGGCGTCCCCGTCTTCTTTGACCTTCAATCTTTCCCAGCATCAGGGTCTTCTCCAGTGAGGGCTCCCTTCTCATTTGGTGGCCAAAGTATTGGAGCTTCAGTTTCATTATCTGGCCTTCCAGGGAACAGTCAGGGTTGATTTCTTTTAGGACTGACTGATTTGATCTTCTTGCAGTCCAAGGGACTCTCAAAAGGTATCTCCAGCACCATAGTTCAAAAGAATATTCTTCGGCGCTCAGCCTTCCTTATAGTCCAACTCTCGCAGCCATACATGACTACTGGGAATACCATTGCTTTGACCATGCGGACTTTTGTTGGCAGGGTGATGTCTCTACTTTTTATCATGCTGTTTAGGTTCGCCATCGCTTTCCTCCCAAGGAGCAGGCGTCTTTTAATTTCATGGCTGCAGTCACAGTCTGCGGTGATCTGGGATCCCAGGAACGTGAAGTCTGTCACTACTTCCACGACTTCCCCTTCTATTTGCAAAGGAGTGATGGGGGCGGATGCCATGATCTAGCCAAAGCAAAAAATGGAGATTCACTGCATGGAAAAAGTAACAAAAGACCAGAAACCCGTGAATATAATAACGAAGAATTTATAAAACTAACTTGTAAATAATTATCAAACGTTCCAATCTGAATAAAGAATATTATACAAAATGTCTCTGGTGTCAGTCTAATACTGAAAACACCTCCAACTCCCAACAAATTTCCTCTCTGAGACAGTCCTTCCCAGTAAAGTAACAAAGTCCGATGTTGAAGGAGACAAGGCAATCCTGTTAACGGGACGGGTAATATCCCGATTCCACGGTTCTTCAGGAAGAGGTACCATGCAACCGAACATAATCCGTATTGTATTTAATCTTGCTGCTTCCTAGTTTGGTCTGATAAGAATACTGTAATGTAATAGTAGAACACAATGTAATTTGGAATGCATTTCTCTGGTCTGAGGACAGAGGAGATGCATGGCACAGCTGACTGCATCGCCTCAAAGAAGAGGATGCTGCACATGCTTAATACAATCTTTTTGGGATGTGTTCATGCTTTAATGCAAGAACCAATTGAGAGGCAACAACATAAGAAACGCTGATGCAGAGACATTAAAATGCTGCTGTCCATATGCATTTGAGATTAAAGATTCTTTATTACTATAATTGGCTAAGAACAAGGCTCTGGAATTCTGATTAATTACCATGACTGTCAGTTTATCACTGTAATGGTGAATGAGGCCGTTAACGGAGTCAGAAAAACTGGAGAGACTTGCATCATGGGCTCATCTTGGGCACAAACAAACCACAGAATTACTTCACAATTTGTAAAACTGAAATGACCAGTTTACACACAGCTTCTTTAGTGGATGAAAACAAAGGCCACAATCTAAAGTACAGACTTTAATGCTAAGTTTTCTGTGAAACTTTAAAAGACAGTTGCATCTAGACAGTATTATTATGAATTATTAAGTGATGGGAAATCACAACCAGGCCTTGAGATTTTTCTAGTGTAATTGATACAAGGACTGTTTCTCCCTTTCTCAAGTGGCTCAGACATTTAGTTAAAAAAATATACCAACAAGTCAAGAAGTTGCAAAAGGTTTGTCTAGTTCTAATTCAGGGGTGTCAAACATAAGACCCAAGGGCCAGAACCAGCACTTCCAGGGCTCCTATGCAGCCTGTGAACAACTACTAGTGCAAGTGAGGGAACAGGAGATTGCTCAGGGGGAGTGGGCGGAGCCACTCCAATTGTGGCTTCAGCATGGCGGAGCAATCTCGTCTGCAGGAGTCAAGCAGTATGGGAGTGTCTGCCCAGTGCTGCACTGCTGGCTTTCTAGTCTGACCATATGGGTTTTCCTTTGCATCCCCCTCCCAGCCCATGGGGCCTGGTGATAAGGATACAACAACTTTGAGCTTACCAGCTGCTGCCCTTTATACAGTTTCTTTTTTAAAAAATAATCTATTTATTAATTTTCAGACACATAAGCATAACCATATCGTTGAATACATCGCAAGAATAATCAATAAATAGAACTTACGGCCACGGCGGCGCGTATGGCGGCCAGCTCTCGGGACTCTCCCGGAGTTGGATCGCCCACACGTGGAGTGGGGGGGATCCGCACAAGCGGAGACCCTAAGGAGCCTTGGGAAAAGGCTCCGAACCAGGGGGCGCTTAGGGGAGAAGCCTCTTACCGGCCAGAAGGTCGGAAATTGAGGCTCTCCCTCTGCCCTGACGGCCCCGCTGCGCTGTGCCCCGAATGGGGACCTAGCAATGCCACTGGAACATCGGAGTGATGAAGCGATGAAGTGAAAGTACAAAGAAAGAGACGAGCGGCTAACTGTGAGTTGGAGATCAAATTACAAGCTACCGGCTAAAGCACACTCCGTCCCCCGGGAAAGCGAGAGGGAGGAGGGAGGATTCCCCCCCACACTCGAGAAAGAGACTTTTTGAAAGCAGAAAGGGGGGGCGAAGTGAAGTTTGGAAAAAGCAAATTACCTTTTGGGAGAGAGCTGAAAACGGAGAACAGGGAGTGATCCCTATGCTGCGCAGCACAAACTTAAAAAAAGTAAACAAAAACTGAAAATGGCGGGGCCGAAAAAGTTCTTGGAGAGGCAGACAAAGAAGACGGGAGGAACTTCCGGTCTTAGCCCTTCCCCTGCAGGGGCTGCTGTCAATCAGCAAGAAAGTGAGATGCTGCGCCCTCTGCTGGATGAATTGTAGAAGATCAATCAAAAGTTGGATAGCATGGAAAGTGCCTATAGTATTCAACAGAAGCAGATGACAGAGACAGCCAAGAAGGTGGATGAGATCGCAAAGAAATGTCTGGTATCAACGGAAGAAATACAGAAAGTCAAGAAGAAGGTCAGTAAAGTGGAAAAACACAAAGAGAAGCAGGATAATAAATTATTATTGCTTCAAATGGAAAAATCAAATTTGACTCTTCGATTTCAAGGGATGAAAGAATTTGAAAAGGAAGACCTCAGAGACATCCTGGCGAATGCGTTGGCACCACTGACTGGCAGTGAAGCGGGAAAAATAAAAGATGAGATGGATTTGGCATATAGAGCCTACTCCAACTTTACAAGGAAGAATAATCTGCCAGCAGAAGTGGTTGTGAAATTTACCAAGCAGCGTCTCAGAGATCAAATTTTAAAAGTAACATCATCAACACCTTTGAAAATCGGAGACCAGACTATTAGAATTCTGAAAGATGTTACATTTGAAATCAGAATGAAGAGAAAGGAATATAAAGGGTTGACCATGTTCTTGCAAAGTCACCAAATTAATTATAAATGGTTGATACCCGAAGGACTCGTCTTTAAGTTTAAAGACAGAAGAGAAAAGATAGACTCCATCTTCAAGGCTCAAGACTTTTTGAAGAGGCACGCCAGCTCAGAGGTCGAGGCAGAACTCGCTAAGTGGATGGTAGGAACTAGCAAAGAAGACAGCAACTCGGAGGAAGAGGTGAAAGATGAGGAAGACAAAGGAGCGGCTAGAGGGCCAAAATACAACAAGAGACAAAAAAGGGAAGCACCTCAACGTTTGAGAACTAGTTCGGAAAGCGCAATAAAAGATAATACTAATCCCAAAGGGATTAACTAACCGGTTTTGAAAGATATAGAAGAAAAAAGTACTGTCCAGCTGCAGAAGAAGATTTTGACTTTGACTTTACTAATAAAGGATTAATATACTAATTTTTAACATCACTCAACACTTTTCTTTACCCCTCTATATACCCTCCCTAACTTTCTGAAATGTAAAAGCAATAAAATTCTCTCCTTTTTAGAAGAGGGGGAAAAAAAGAATCATCAATAAATTGACAGACATAATTACACTTTCATTACATTTCATATTCTTTCCCCCTATTTCTATCATTCAAAACCAAATTCATTTTACTGATGTCAATATTAATATTAGATCACCATATCAATTCATATAGCAAAGACATTTATACTATTAATTAAACTTCATAGTAAAGCTATTTTCTTAATCACTTGAGCGTCTTTTGTTCTATTTCCTTTTTTTTTTTTAATCCCCTGAAGACAGGGTAGCTTTATTAAATTTTGTTACACCTACGTGACTACAGAAAGGGAAAAAAAAGGGAAAAGGGGAAAAAAGGAAGGGGGGGATAGGGGAAAAAAATAACAAACTAAAATAACAAACCCCGGGATACAGACAGTACAAAGAAAAAGGAACCCACACTATAACTAAAAACCCAAGAAAGGAAGGTCATTACCAGTTAGTATACAGTTAGTCATAAAAATTAAAGCTTTCGTTTGAGTCAATGAATTAGGGAGATTAGTGAGTCCATTTTAGTAAATGTCTAATTTCTTCTCAGTATGCACAAAGACTTCATCCAGTTTGTTCATAAATCTTTTAGAATATAAGAGCTACTTGGCAACTCTTAGCCGCAAATCATATGCCTCTCTGGCCGTGCCTCCTTCTGCTCCTATTAGGTCTCCGTCCGT